CAGTCGGCCGTATGCTTCAGTCTGGAGGAGTTCATGCAGGAGGTAAATAAGGTTTTTGATGCTCCATTGTCCAGGAGAGAGGCTGCACAGCAGTTACTCCAGCTTCTGCAAGATTCCCGCAGTGTGGTAGACTATGCAGTGGATTTCCGCACGTTGGCAGCTGAGTGTGCCTGGAACCCGGAAGCGCTGTTTGACACGTTCCTGCACGAAGTATCGGAGGACGTAAAGGACGAGCTTGAAGCCCGGGAACTACCGACGGATCTCGACTCGTTCATCGCCTTGACCATTCGAATTGATGGGCGACTACGGGAACGAAGGAAGGAGAGGAAGTCCGATTCCACTCGCCCGCCCAATGATTCCACCTCGCCTCCGAGGCATCCCGGAAGTCCCCGACGGCTCCGTTGCCCGCGAGAACCTGAGGCTACCCGAGTTCCCCCGAGAGTCTCCGAAGTCTGCCGATTCACCTCTTCCTGAGCCAATGCAACTAGGCAGAGCTAGGCTGTCTCGAGCTGAATGGCAATACAGGCTTCACACGAAGAGTTGCCTGTATTGCGGGACTACTGGTCATTTTGTGTCCACCTGTCCACTAAAAGACCAGGCTCACTGGTAGGAGCGAGTACTCTGGTGGGCCAAACGGATAACTTTTCCTCTCCCCTTACTCGCACCCCCTTTCATGCCATCTTGCTGTGGGGGAACCAGTCGAAATCTCATAGACTCTGGGGCCGATGAGAGCTTTATGGACGCTACCCTGGCGTCCGAGCTGGGCATCCCCACTCAGCCCCTCTCCATTCCCATGGAAGTTAGCGCACTGGACGGGTGCTCTATAGGCTGGGTCACCCACAATACCACCCCCATCAACCTACGAGTATCAGGGAACCACAGCGAGACGATCCAATTCCTGCTAATTAAGTCTCCTCAGGTTCCCGTGGTATTTGGTTTCTCTTGGCTCCAGCGACACAACCCCTTTATTGACTGGTCTACTGGTGCCATCATGGGCTGGAGCCCGTTCTGCCGCGCTCATTGCCTGAAGTCAGCGCAGCCTGCCCCAGGACGTCTTCCTGGGTGCTCGGAAGTTGCCTCAGACCTCTCCGCCATTCCCACGGAGTACCAGGACCTCTGGGAGGTTTTCAGTAAGACCTGGGCCACTTTGCTTCCGCCGCACCGACCCTACGACTGCGGAATTGATCTTCTCCCAGGCACCACTCAGCCCCGGGGACGACTGTACTCGCTGTCGGGTCCGGAGACCAAGGCCGGGTTCATCCTTCCTTCTTCCTCCCCCGCCAGTGCAGGGTTCTGCTTTGTGGAAAAGAAGGACAAAATCCTGCGCCTGTGCATCAACTACCGGGGCCTCAACAACATCACGGTGAAGAACCGATACCCGCTACCACTCATCTCCTCGGCCTTCGAGCCGCTCCAGGGGGCCAATGTGTTCTCCAAGCGGGACCTACGAAAAACGCCTACCACCTGGTGCAGATACGGGAGGGGGACGAGTGGAAAACTGCCTTCAACACGGCCAGCAGTCAATGCAAGTATCTGGTCATGCCATTTGGCCTTACCAATGCTCCAGCTGTGTTCCAGGCCCTGGTTAATGATGTTCTCCACGACATGTTGAACTGGTTCGTCTTCATCTACCTCGACGACATCCTCGTCTTCTCCCGCTCCGCCCAAGAACACGTGCTCCACGACCGACAGGTCCTCCAATGCCTCCTGGAGAACCAGCATCCTGACCCATCCTGCCAGTTCGTGGTGGAGGTGATGCTTCGGATGTCGGAGTGGGGGTGGTCCTGTCCCAGCTTTCGGCCCTGGATCTCAAGTTAAATCCCTGCGCCTTCTTCTCCCATCACCGCAACACCACGGAGAGGAATTATGATGTGGGGAATCATGAGCTTCTCGCGGTGTAGATGGCATTGGAGGAGTTGAGGCACTGGCGGAAATCTGTTCATTGTGTGGACAGACCACAAGAACTTGGAATATCTCCGCACCGCCAAGCATCTCAATTCCAGGCAAGCTAGGTGGGCCCTGCTTTTCACCCGGTTCAACTTCTCCCTCTCATACCGACTGGGATCCAAGAATGTCAAGCCAGATGCGCTGTCACGCCGCTATAGCCCCGCGGCTACACCCCTGGAATCCGAGACCATCCTTCCCACCTCGTGCTTGGCGATGGCACTCAGTTGGGGAATAGAGGCGCAGCGTTCCCAGCCGAACACCGGGGGAGGCCCAGATAACCAGATGTTTGTTCCTGATGCTGTCCCCTCCTCGGTCCTGGAGTGGGCCCACCCTGGCCTTTGTGCGACAATGCTTTTGGTGGCCTACCATGGTTCCTGACGCCTCCGTGTTCGTCGTGGCCTGCACGATCTGTGCGCAGAACAAGACTCCTCGGCAAGCTCTGGCTGGTCTCCTCCAACCTCTGATTGTTCCTCACCGTCCCTGGTCTCACATATCCCTGGACTCTGTCACGGGTCTTCCCCCGTCTGATGGCAACACCGCTATCCTGACAGTTGTGGACCGGTTTTCCAAAGCCGCCCAATTCATTCCTCTCCCCAAGCTACCCTCCGCCAAAGAGACGGCCCAGCTCATGGTGCAGCACGTCTTCCGGATCCATGGACTCCCAGTGGACATGGTCTCCGACCGGGGTCCTCAGTTCTCGTCCCGGTTCTGGAAGGCGTTTTGCACACTCATTGGTCGTCGGCCAGCCTGTCCTCTGGTTTCCACCCTCAGTCCAATGGCCAGTCGGAGCGAGCCAACCAAGACCTGGAGACGACTCTGCACTGCCTGGTCTCCGCCAACCCCACCACCTGGAGCCAGCAACTAGTGTGGGTCAAATACGCCCACAACACACTTCCCTGCTCTGCCATGGGTCTTTCGCCCTTTGAGTGTTCCCTGGATTATCAGTCCCCGCTATTCCTGGAGCACGAGAAAGAGCATACCCTGGAGGAGAGCCCGGTCGGCTCTTCTCAAGACCACCTCCAGGTATCGATGACAAGCGGACCGCCACCGGACCCCGGCTCCCCGGTATCGTCTTGGGCAGAAGGTATGGCTGTCCACCCGAGATCTGCCCCTCCTGGTGGTGTCCTGCAAGAACCCGATGGTCACTCTGACAGAGCTCCAGAGTTCTTCTATGGAGATGGGAGAACCTTCCAGAAGGACAACCATCTCTGCAGCACTCCACCAATCAGGCCTTTATGGTAGAGTGTCCAGACGGAAGCCACTCCTCAGTAAATAGCACATGACAGCCCACTTGAAGTTCGCAAAAAGGCACCTAAAGGACTCTCAGACCATGAGAAACAAGATTCTCTGGTCTGATGAAACCAAGTTTGAACTTTGGCCTGAATGCCAAGCGTCACGTCTGGAGGAAACCAGGCACCACTCATCACCTGGCCACTACCATCCCTACGGTGAAGCATGGTGGTGGCAGCATCATGCTGTGGGGATGTTTTTCAGCGGCAGGGACTGGGAAACTAGTCAGGATTGAGGGAAAGATGAACGGAGCAAAGTACAGAGAGATCCTTGATGAAAACCTGCTCCAGAGCGCTCAGGACCTCAGACTGGAGCGAAGTTTCACCTTCCAACAGGACAATGACCCTAAGCACACAGCCAAGACAACGCAGGAGGGGCTTCGGGACAAGTCTCTGAATGATCTTGATTGGCCCAGCCAGAGCCCGGACTTGACCTCGATCGAACATCTCTGGAGAGACCTGAAAATAGCTGTGCAGCGACACTCACTATCCAACCTGACAGAGCTTGAGAGGATCTGCAGAGAAGAATGGGAGAAACTCCCCAAATACAGGTGTGCCAAGCTTGTAGCGTCATACCCAAGAAGATTTGAGGCTGTAACTGCTGCCAAAGGTGCTTCAACAAAGTAATGAGTAAAGTGTCTGAATACTTATATAAATGTGATATTTCAGTCTAAAAACCTGTTTTTGCTTTGTCATTATGGGGTATTGTGTGTAGATTGATGAGGATTTGTGTTTTTTAAATCAATTTTAGATAAGGCTGTAACTTAACACAATGTGGAAAAAGTGAAGGGGTCTGAATACTTTCCGAATGCACTGTATCCCTTTAAGGAAAGTAAGGTCAAAGGTGATTGAGTTATTCAGCCCTTCAGCGTCTTCCGCTGTCTTCCTCCACTTCTCCAGTGAGTTGTTAGTACGGCGCTCCCCATTCTCACAAGTACATGCGGTGTCATGAACATCAAGAGATTAACATCAAGGAGATATAAATATTCAAAGCGATTAAAATGTTCGCCATTTAAATATTCAGGCATAAAATATGCACAATTATGCATGCTAAATTCACACCTGCAGGTACAATTCCATGCCCCAAATAATCAGTGAAATAGTCATGCCCCAAATAATCAGGATCTTACAGTTAAAAAATTACAAATATTTTGCAAAAAACTAAAGCATTTAGAATGTCATGCCAAATACATCAGAATACTTGATCCATTTTTGTGCTCTATAGCATGGGAGTTCTTTTTATGAATTTGCAGATAGGTAATTACTGAGTCTTTCAAAACATTGTGTGCATGCTTTGGTATCTGTTGTTATTTAGGTCTAAAGAAGATGAATGAGTCTACTTCTAGAGAATACCAAATCACTACTATATGCTTGAAAGGCTGCACGACAGTCCATATGGATAATCACTTACAGTTCACTTCTTTGTGGACAAAGAAAAATAACAAACACTATGCATAAAACATAATATAATCACCCAATACTATACATTTATAATTTCACTTAGACACATCAACTTAAGTATTTTTCATAGCCTACATAACATTACTTCAGCACAGAAGTGAATGTGAAAAAAAGGTGTCTGAGTTAAAGAAGACATGACAGTCCTTCTGACTGTGTCCTGTCTACCCATATTATACAGTAGCTGGTAGCTGGGTGGCCCCTGCTCTGTGTCCAGACCTGAGGAGAAAGAATCAGGAGGGTTAATGACACCATGATATGAATAAATACAAGTGAACTCTGTTTGTCCCAGGGGTACAGTATCTGTCACAGCCCCATTTTCTGTATTGAGCACGGACTCTGGGTGATGATCTTATCGGTCTGGCTCTCGGGTGGTGTGTAGTAAAGACATCCAGGGTTGCCGCTTGTCTGTCTTTCCCTTATCCTCGCCAGCCACTAATTAGGCCCCACAGGTAAAGGGAATTACGGGTATTAGAGTCACACGGTAGTCTGAAAAAACCTAGGATTTCAATCGAGCCCTGGCCTCGATGTAACCTTTAGAGACTGGTTGCTTTAGGTTAGAGAGCAGCTGGATACAATACATATACCATTCCTGGGTATCGGTATACACCAGGGAGAATGTTATACATGGTGGTAAACCGCCGAGCACATACCTCTCATTATCTCTTCTCACACTAGCTAATGAGTCTGACCTCTGTGGCTCGAAACAATGTGCAGACACACTCCATTGGTTTCACATTAACACAGACACACGACGAGGTGTTCCCACGATGGGATGCTGAATGGAAAACAAATGGGTTCTGTGAATGTACAGTGGACAGAAGCTAACCCAGCTAACACAGCTAACCCAGCTACAGGCAAAGCAGCAGCATGTTGATGCACTTTGGATACCCACAGATATCAACCTTGAATGTAGCTTGAAGGTTGTGCTTTATAGCAGTCAGTAGCTTTCCCTTCAGATCTTGAACAACGCATTAATATTGATGATCTGAAAGACTGAGGTATAATCTCTCCATCTAATCAGATGACCAGCAACGGCAATACAAGAACCCGAAGCGTGATTCGTTTTAAGTTCATTAAAATGAGCACATTATTCACACGTTTTTTGTCTGCATTGACACTGCTTTGTGTTCTCAAAGCGGGGGAATAAATCAACTAGATAAAACTTCACTGTGAGAGTCATTAATGTCTCTTTGGCATACATTTCTTTAGGTATACTAACAACAGATCACAGGGGTATAAGATACTTTACTGTCTCCCTTTGGGCTCAGTTCCTAAAGTTACAAATTACCCAAAGGTTTGTGCAACAAAGAAGACATTCTGGACAACAATTTGGCACATTATATCCCCGCCTCACTCCCTGATATTGTAATCAGCGGGAGACGATTGGACCCATGGGAGCCGTTTCCATGTAATTTACTACACAGCAGTCCTAATAAAAAAGGATATTCAGCGAGTTTGCGGCAAGCTCAACTGTGCTGTTTTTGGTTAATTTTGGTATTGGGCAAATGTCCTGCCCAGATCTAACCTATTGGTTGTCAAGGATACGATCTACAGACTGGTGTCAAACAGTCACACAGTATATCCTGTTTATATCTTGGGTGACACAATAAGGAGGAAACCCACTCGTTCTTATACCTTTTCCTATTTCCTCCTCCCACTCTCCTCTTGGCTGGTGTGAAAGAGTTTGTTATTTAAAGTGCTAACTCTGTGTTCAGTCTGTCTGTAGTTTCAAACTGTATCATGTATCTTTTACTGTGAGGAGCTTTGCTCTTTAAGGTCACATGTGATGTTCTAGTATAGTATGTCATTTACTGTGTGTCTGAATCCTTACGTTCTTTGCTGTTATTATACAATACTATACCTAATCAAGAAGGGAACATTCTGCTTTGAGCAAACCTTAGAAAAAACTACTGGCACAATCAGTACAATATTCAGAGCAATATTGTTGGTTAATTCTTTGCTTTAAAGATTTTATAAGAGGCTCTGCTTACAGCAGTGGTTGCTAGGACACCCTCCTGCTGCTTACCTTCTTATGCTGTTGCCTCTCCAGCTTATCCTTGGCCTCCTCCAGCTCTTTCTGAATCTTCTGGATGTGTTTGCTCATTTTACGGGATGGTGGAGTGCAGAATCTCCCACACGTAAAACCTGAGAGAGAACTCCTGATATCTCCAAGTATCATTTTTGTTTTCATCTGTTGTTGTCTAGTACTGACTTTTTGCTGCCTGTCTTCCCAGTGGCCTACTTAGTGTGTGAACTGCTGACTGCTCATAAATTGCAGATAATTGTTGACACATCAACCAGGATTAAGAGGCAATTTGTGACTATTGTTGTTTTCGTAATCAGTGGCTATATTGGAGGGGGAGTGGTTTCTCATCTCCTAGGCAATTAGCAATTAGTGTTAGTACTTCAGTCTCCTGTTTTGTCAGCGGAACTCTCCTCGCCAAAACAAAGACACCACTCTCTCACTTGAATATCTTACCTTGTTCTTTTCAGATGATCTCATTTAACTCTATTGTAGCTTTGGCAACTGCAGCGAGCTCCACAAGTATTGGGACAGTGTCACATTTCTGTTGTTTTGGGTCTTTACTCCAGCACTTTGGATTTGAAATGATACAATGACTATGAGGTTAAAGTGCAGACTATCAGCTTTATTTTCATCCATATCGGGTGAACCGTCAGGTGAACTGAATATCGATAATCCTGAATGATGAGTGAATAATGATGAGTGAGAAAGTTAGAGGCAGAAATATCATAACCCCCCAAAATGCTAACCTCCCCTGTTATTGTAATGGTGAGAGGTTAGCATGTCTTGGGGGTATGATAGTTTCTCACTCATCACTATTCACAATTCATTCAGGATTACCCGTAAGCATGGTAGCATCCACATTAACGTAGAAGTGTTTAGAAACATATTCTATTCTTATTTACAATTAAAGCGACTACAAAATGACACAATACATTATTTACCATTAACTTCTATTGGGCACAAAATAATCTGAAACACAACCAAAACAAACAGCAAATGCATCCAACAAGTGTGTTGATGTAATCATTGTGTGCTATGAATATGGGACCAAATACTAAACATTTCAAATCCAAAGTGCTAGAGTACAGAGTAAAAAAATAAAAAAATGTCACTGTCCCAATACTTTTGGAGCTCACTGTATGTTTGTGTTTTCTATACCTGTTGGCTCCTCTCCCTGTAGGCTTTACAGACGCTCCCCACCCCTTGGCTGCAACCCTTCTATTTTTGTGTACCCTGCCTGGACAACCCATGTGTAATTCCTGGTCTCCGGCAGCGTTTGGAACTGCCGATCTGCGGTCAAGAACGCCAAGTTCATCTCAGCCTATGCTGGCCTTCAGTCCCTTGACTTTTTGGCCCTGACGGAGACATGAATCACCCCAGAGAACACTGCTACTCCAGCTGCTCCCTATTCATCTGACTATGTTTTCTCTCATAGTCAGAGAGCATCTGGCTATTGCGGGGGTGGCACAGGGCTACTAATTTCTCCTAACTGGAGATTTTCTCTTTTCTCCCTCAATCACCTGTCGATCTCCTCATTTTAATTCCATGCTATCACTGTCACTTGTCCACTCAAGCTTAACATTATTGCCATCTATCGCCCACCAGGTGCCCTTGGAGAGTTCCTCAATGAGCATGACACCTTGATTAGCTCATTTCCTGACGATGGCTCACCACTCTTTGTACTTGGTGTCTGGTACAACCTCCCGACATCTGCCTTCGAATAATTTCTTTCCAACTTTCCCCTTCTTGCCTCTTTTGACCTCACCCTTTCCCAGTCCCCTCCCACTCACAATGCAGGCAATATGCTTGACCTCATCTTTACTAGAGGCTGTTCGCCTTCTAATCTCACTGCAACCCCCCTACCCAGATGGTCATCTCTCTCTCTCTCCCACTGCTCTCTCCTCTTCTATCATCTCTCTCTTCTGCTAACTCCTTCTCCCACCTGTCTCCTGATTCTGCCTCTTCGATCCTAGTCTCCTCCCTTTCCGCATCCTATGACTCGCACTGTCCCCTTTCCCCCCGGCCGGCTTGGCCTTCCCCTCCTGCTCCATGGCTCAGTGACTCATTGCGAGAACAGGGCAGAAAATAGAGAAAAACTAAACTTCCAGAGGACCTATCATCCTTCCACTCCCTCCTCTCTACCTTCTCTTCCACTGCTAAAGCCACTTTCTATAATTCTAAATGTCAAACCTTTGGCTCTAACCCTAGGAAACTATTTTCCACCTTCTCCTCCCTCCTTAATCCTCCAGCCCCTCACCCTCCCTCCTCTCTCTCTGCGGACGACATTGTCAACCACTTTTTAAAAAAGGTTGACGACAGGTTCACTCAGCCTATTGACTCCACTGGTCCCGCTCACACATGACTACCCTACGCCTTGACCTCTTTTTCCCCTCTCTCTCCAGATGAAATCCTGAGACTAGCGAGGTCCAACCGCCCAACAACCTGCCCGCTCGACCCATTCCCTCCTACCTTCACTAGGCCATCTCTGGAGACCATCTCCCATTCCTCACTTCCCTCATCAACTCATCCCTGACCACTGCTACTACTATAATGTTGATACCTGGTTAGTGTTGAGGTTGTAGAGGATGACATCACCAGTGGCTGTACCAACACACACAGACTCCTGGTCTGGTAAGTCCTGGATACCAACAACTGTCCCACTGCCATCCTCTGGAAGGTAGCTCTCAGCTGTCAACGACACCACATTCACGACCTGAACATGATGGGGAGAGGAATGGTTGAATACAGTGTGTTAGTGATGGGCTGGAACAAAAACCTGTACCCGGTGGGTCTCCAGGACCATGATTGAAGACCACTGCTATGTGTAAAGTACCTGGTCAGTTCATTGGTCCATCTTGGTGACGGAGTATTCTGAAGCGATGAGCACGGTACCTGTGTCCGTCCGAACAGAGAAACATTGTGGCATGCCCAGGCCCTGCAGCTCCGAGTAACGAAGGCTCTTCAGCAACCTCAAGTTCCGCATCACACCCTATTTAGCTAGCTACTTAAACACAGATGCCGACAAGGCGTATTGGGTTGTCACTAGTTAGCACAATCACAAAGTCATAAACCTCGCCTATTACTACAATTTATCTTCTTAAAATGTGATTTTAAACCTATCATTAAATTTTGTCAGCCGGTTATTGTCATGCAAAAGACTGCCGGTCTCACAGTAATTGACGTTAATTAAAATCGTTAACACATTTAGCATCTCCAGGACTTTATGAGTACAAGCCGCTGATTCGCGCCTTTGAAACAGCCACATTTAAAAAAGTCTAATAAATAATTGAATATACACCATCACAATTAATCCATTATTTATTTTAGGCAGGTCTAAAGAAATGTTATTATATGAAGAAAATGTATTTCAGAAGAACAGAATATGAGTTAGCCTACTGTACAGTATTTTATCTGGTTTTGCGCCATGCCATAGGCTGTAGGCTTGTTCATTTAGCAGACAAGATACGCTTACAAGTCCAGTGCCATTATTTTATAAGATATCATTTTATAGTAAGAAGAATATACAGTGCCTTCGGAAAGTATTAAGACCCCTTGACTTTTTCCACATTTTGTTACGTTACAGCCTTATTCTAAAATGGATTAAAGAAAGAAAAATCCTCAGCAATCTACACACAATACCCCATAATAACAAAGTGAAAACAGGTTGTTAGAAATGTTTGCAAATTTCAAATAAAAACAGAAATACCTTATTTACATAAGTATTCAGACCCTTTCCTAGGAGACTCAAAGTTTAGCTCAGGTGCATCCTGTTTCCATTGATCATCCTTGAGATGTTTCTACAACTTGATTGGAGTCCACCTGTGGTAAATTAAATTGATTGGACATGATTTGGAAAGGCACACACCTGTCTATATAAGGTCCCACAGTTGACAGTGCATGTCAGAGCAAAAACCAATCAATGAGGTCAAAGAAATTGTCCGTAGAGACAGGATTGTGTCGAGGCACAGATCTGGGAAAGGGTATCAAAAAATGTCTGCAACATTGAAGGTCCCCAAGAACACAGTGGCCTCCATCATTCTTAAATGGAAGAAGTTTGGAACCACCTAGACTCTTCCTAGCGCTGGCCGATTGGCCAAACTGAGCAATCGGGGGAGAAGGGCCTTGGTCAGGGAGGTGACCAAGAACCCGATGGTCACTCTGACAGAGCTCCAGAGTTCCTCTGTGGAGATGGGAGAAACTTCCAGACGGACAACCATCTCTGCAGCACTCCACCAATCAGGCCTTTATGGTAGTGGCCAGATGGAAGCCACTCTTCAGTAAAAGGCACATGACGGCCTGCTTGGAGTTTGCCAAAAGGCACCTAAAGACTCTCAGACCATGAGAAACAAGATTCTCTGGTCTTATGAAACCAATATTGAACTCTTTGGCCTGAATGCCAAGCGTCACGTTTGGAGGAAACATGGCACCATCCCTACGGTGAAGCATGGTGGTGGCAGAAAAATTTGCAGCATTACCGCAGAAATGGAAGAGGAAAGTGGAAGGGGAAAAAAGTAAGGAACTTGTCTTTCGGACCTGCATTAAAGACCATACAGTGAGGGAAAAAAGCATTTGATCCCCTGCTGATTTTGTACGTTTTCCCACTGACAAAGAAATGATCAGTCTATAATTTTAATGTTAGGTTTATTTGAACAGTGAGAGACAGAATAACAACAAAAAAATCCTGAAAAACGCATGTCAAAAATGTTATACATTTTCATTTTAATGAGGGAAATAAGTATTTGACCCCCTCTCAATCAGAAAGATTTCTGGCTCCCAGGTGTCTTTTATACAGCTAACGAGCTGAGATTAGGAGCACACTCTTAAAGGGAGTGCTCCTAATCTCAGCTTGTTACCTGTATAAAAGACACCTGTCCACAGAAGCAATCAATCAATCAGATTCCAAACTCTCCACCATGGCCAAGACCAAAGAGCTCTCCAAGGATGTCAGGGACAAGATTGTAGACCTACACAAGGCTGGAAGGGGCTACAAGACCATCGCAAAGCAGCTTGGTGAGAAGGTGACAACAGTTGGTGCGATTATTCGCAAATGGAAGAAACACAAAATAACTGTAAATCTCACCTGGTGGAGTTGCAATGATCATGAGAACGGTGAGGAATCAGAGAACACATTAAGAGGATTTTAAAGGGATTATATTCTGTGACACCAGTCTGTTATATTATCACAGCTAGAAAATATATCACATTTTGTTGTAATTGCCTCACAAGCCAATGTCTCATATTTTTTTCCACATGAAGTACTCTTTTAAAATATGCAAACCCCATAACATTTGAAAACAACAATAATTTAGCAGGCTAGGTCCCTTTTTTTCTTATTTTTTTCTTTTCTTTAGAGGGTAGATCAGCTTTAATATTGCAGATAGATTGTAACTTCCATCAATTGTCTGCATCACTTCCAATCCCCCATATGTTTTTCCCCCGCAAATATATATATACAGTGGGGAAAAAAAGTATTTAGTCACCACCAATTTGTGCAAGTTCTCCACTTAAAAAGAATGAGAGAGGCCTGTATTTTCATCATAGTTACAACGTCACTATGACAGACAAATTGAGAAAAGAAAATCCAGAAACATCACATTGTAGGATTTTTAATGAATTTATTTGCAATTTTGGTGGAAAATAGTATTTGGTCACCTACAAACAACAAGATTTCTGGCTCTCACAGACCAGTAACTTCTTCTTTAAGAGGCTCCTCTGTCTCCACTCGTTACCTGTATTAATGGGCACCTGTTTGAACTTGTTATCAGTATAAAGACCCTGTCCACAACCTCAAACAGTCACACTCCAAACTCCACTATGGCCAAGACCAAAGAGCTGTCAAAGGACACCAGAAACAAAATTGTAGACCTGCACCAGGCTGGGAAGACTGAATCTGCAATAGGTAAGCAGCTTGGTTTGAAGAAATCAACTGTGGGAGCAATTATTAGGAAATGGAAGACATACAAGACCACTGATAATCTCCCTCGATCTGGGGCTCCACGCAAGATCTCACCCCGTGGGGTCAAAATGATCACAAGAACGGTGAGCAAAAATCCCAGAACCACACGGGGGGACCTAGTGAATGACCTGCAGAGAGCTGGGACCAAAGTAACAAAGCCTACCATCAGTAACACACTACGCCGCCAGGGACTCAAATCCTGCAGTGCTAGACGTGTCCCCCTGCTTAAGCCAGTACATGTCCAGGCCCGTCTGAAGTTTGCTAGAGTGCATCCAGAAGAGGATTGGGAGAAAGTCATATGGTCAGATGAAACCAAAATAGAACTTTTTGGTAAAAACTCAACTTGTCGTGTTTGGAGGACAAAGAATGCTGAGTTGCATCCAAAGAACACCATACCTACTGTGAAGCATGGGAGTGAAAACATCATACTTTGGGGCTGTTTTTCTGCAAAGGGACCAGGACGACTGATCCGTGTAAAGGAAAAATGAATGGGGCCATGTATCGTGAGATTTTGAGTGAAAACCTCCTTCCATCAGCAAGGGCATTGAAGATGAAACGTGGCTGGGTCTTTCAGCATGACAATGATCCCAAACACACCACCCGGGCAACGAAGGAGTGGCTTCGTAAGAAGCATTTCAAGGTCCTGGAGTCTCCAGATCTCAACCCCATAGAAAATCTTTGGAGGGAGTTGAAAGTCCGTGTTGCCCAGCGACAGCCCCAAAACATCACTGCTCTAGAGGACATCTGCATGGAGGAATGGGCCAAAATACCAGCAACAGTGTGTGAAAACCTTGTGAAGACTTACAGAAAACGTTTGACCTGTGTCATTGCCAACAAAGGGTATATAACAAAGTATTGAGAAACTTTTGATATTGACCAAATACTTATTTTCCACCATAATTTGCAAATAAATTCATTTAAAATCCTACAATGTGATTTTCTGGAATATTTTTTCTCATTTTGTCTGTCATAGTTGACGTGTACCTATGATGAAAATTACAGGCCTCTATCATCTTTTTAAGTGGGAGAACTTGCACAATTGGTGGCTGACTAAATACTTTTTTTCCCCACTGTATATATACACATACATATACATATAAATACATATACATACATATCCTTTAAAAAAATATATTTCCCTTTATTACTTTCCAACCCCACCACCCCTCCCCTAATTGGAGTAAACTAGTGAACAACAACGCTTAGGCCTCTACTTCCAGCTTATGCATACTACACTAATACATTTTATGGACACAGTCAATTTTACAATAATTCTATTTTGTTTGTTTTTACTCATGAACTTCCTCTAACAAAGAGCTGTCAAAGTACACCAGAAACAAAATTTTAGACCTGCACCAGGCTGGGAAGACTGAATCTGCAATAGGTAAGCAGCTTGGTTTGAAGAAATCAACTGTGGGAGCAATTATTATGAAATGGAAGACATATAAGACCACTGATAATCTCCCTCGATCTGGGGCTCCACGCAAGATCTCACCCCGTGGGGTCAAAATGATCACAAGAACGGTGAGCAAAAATCCCAGAACCACACGGGGGGACCTAGTGAATGACCTGCAGAGAGCTGGGACCAAAGTAACAAAGCCTACCATCAGTAACACACTACGCCGCCAGGGACTCAAATCCTGCAGTGCCAGACGGGTCCCCCTGCTTAAGCCAGTACATGTCCAGGCCCGTCTGAAGTTTGCTAGAGTGCATTTGGATGATCCAGAAGAGGATTGAGAGAATGTCATATGGTCAGATGAAACCAAAATATAACTTTTTGTTAAAAACTCAACTCGTTGTGTTTGGAGGACAAAGAATGCTGAGTTGCATCCAAAAAACACCATACCTACTGTGAAGCATAGGGGTGGAAACATCATGCTTTGGGGCTGTTTTTCTGCAAAGGGACCAGGACGACTGATCCGTGTAAAGGAAAGAATGAATGGGGCCATGTATCGTGAGATTTTGAGTGAAAACCTCCTTCCATCAGCAAGGGCATTGAAGATGAAACGTGGCTGGGTCTTTCAGTA